AATTCTGGATAATCAAGTCTGAAAATTTGGTTATAGTCACAAGACATTCCAAATTCCACTGTGTAAAGATCCAAGCTGAAAAATCAAAGGCATACATGTAAATTCTCTAGTCAGAGAAGAAAAAGTCTCCTCTGTTCCAGGCAGGGTGCTTTCTGAATCCACACACTATCAGGTCATGTCTGCAAATACCCTCACYTTATGGATGGTGAGAGGTGGATAAAAAAAAAAATCAGTTCAAGAGTTCATCCTGAACATCCTCCCACAGCCCATCCAACACTCTTTACRCTGTCTTACCAGGCAGTTCTGGGTGTGGTGAGTTGAAGAACGCCTATTTATTACTGCTCTCAACAGTGAGTATAGAAGGTTAGAAAATGATAAAGATCAGATGTCAACYTTGTCTTTAGTCAAGCACAGCAAGAGGAAGTAAGAGAACTCATACATGCTGAGCAATATGTTTTAAAATGGTAAAGCCCAAAATAATGAGAACAGAGAGGCAAGGAAATCCAAATGAGCTGGAGTATTTTTATTGTTGCTGTTGTTGTTGTTGTTTGGTACTAGGGATTGAATTCAGGGGCATTCAACCACTGAGCTACATCCCTAGCCCTATTTTGTATTTTATTTAGAGAAGGGTCTCACTGAGTTTCTTAGTGCAACTYGCCATTGCTGAGGCTGGCTTTGAACTTACYATTCTCCTGTCTCAGCCTCCTGAGCTTCTGGGATTACAGACATGTGCCACTGCACTCAGCAACCTGGAGCTTTCAGAGATTTTATCTATGGGGTTGGCAGTATGACCAGTGGTAGAGCACTTGTCTAGCATGTRCAAAGGCTGGGGTTCATTCCTCAGTGCCATTAAAAATAAAGATAAAAAAATAGTAAATGAAGTAAGAGAGGTTTTATTTGCACCTTGAAGGAAAGGTAGCATTTGAGTAGATGACAAGAAAGGGGAAACTGTTTTCCAGGCACTTCATGGGCAGAGTTCTGTGCCTGCCATTACTTGTGTGGATGCTCACCACCTCCAATTAAAGTTTTTCACAGAGCAGTTGGCTCTAAACGTAGGTCTCACTTAGCTAGATAGTAGGCAGAGGGCATGAAAAAAATGCTTGGGCATCTCACATTTACAGTACTAATGATCTCTGAAGAGTGCTGTTTTGCTGGAATACAGGGTTCATGGGGTGCTGGGCAATGCTGCACTCCAAGTCAGTGATCAGAGAGTGGACTCAAATGCCAGCTTTGCAACCAGTCAAAGCCAATGACAGTTTCTGGGTAGAAAAAATGATCCTATCCAGTGTATCAATCATGTGTCTTTGTTTACTGTATTCTGATATTTTAATGTCTGGGGCTTTGCTGACCCTAGAGGTACTATCCAGGCCACTATTCACCACCCCACAGGACCAAGGTATACAGACTGTATGCCCCAGAGACCTGAAATTACCAATCCTGAGCCTGCTTACCCTCTCTACCTTGTTCCTTCCCAGAGAAACCACAAATAAAGTCCTTCCCTATAGCTGCCCCTTTCCCCCACCTTCTGACCTCCACCCCCCCCCCGCCCCCGTGTCTGTGTGGCTCCACAGGGTATAGGGTCTCCCCTCCTCTTAGGAACTGGGAGGAACCAGCTATCCTGCCAAGGGCARCTGATTCCTGATCTGTGGGACTCACCATATCCAAAGGGTAAAACCKATATCTTAAAACACTAAGCAGGGAAAACAAAATCTGGATGGCAAAGGTACTTTCAATGGGTAAAAGGGAAAGTGGTAAGGAGTCCAGAGTGAAGCACAAAGTGCTTGTTGGTAGGAAAGAGGGGAGAACAGGTGGGAGGAGTGTTCCTAGCTAGCCCTGTCCTGGAAGTTCACAGATAAAATGTGCAAGTAGAACATCAGGTAAAGAGTGGAACTCCACAGTGCACAGTCCCATCCAGCCATCACCACTGACTTACAGAGGCGTGGGCCTTTAACTGAATCATATGAAGTCATGGTGGCACAAAGAAGATGGGAACAAACCAGCAGTGGCAGCTAAAGGATTTCCTGTTTGAATACAACCCTCCAAACTCTTTTCTWATTGGAACAGAAGAGTTTCACTTGCTTCTTTCCTTAATGCCCAGCCCCACCTCCTGGCCCCTGAGTCATGAAGTCTAGCASTCTGGGCAGAGCCCCTTTCAGACAGGCCCTCACATGTCTTTCCATGAGAAAGAGGAATACGACAGTGTGTGCTGGGAGAYGGGCTGGGGTTTTATTTTGGATGGTGTCTCTCTCCACACCATCYGCAGCACCTCATTTGGGTCTTCTGCATTTGCTGATATGACTTGGGTGGGTTGTGGGGAAGAGCACAGGGAACAGAGAGAAGAAAAAAAATAGTATTCAAGTCCAAACTGACTGCATCAGCTCTGCCTTGTAAGGTACCAACAATTACATCTATGGTGATGCTCATCAGTAGTAGCCCACTTCTTTCCCCTTCTGACACTGGTAGATAAAAGGCAGGGGATGGTGGAATCGTCCACGCCTCCCCCCATTACTTTGCACAGTGGCCAGGCAGTGAATGGAAGATTTTACTGACAAGAAGCCATGCTGCTGCCTCTTGTGATGTGCATTGATAAGCAAGACAGTTAGGGACCATTATGGGGGAAAAGGGCAAATACTCTGCCAAGCCTTAACTCATGACCTTTAACCTATCCGAAGTATGACAGTGTTTTTTCCCTACCCCCTGGCCATGGTCCAAACAATCTGATGGGCCATGGACACGGAGTACATCATAAAAACCAGAAGCCTTTGTTGTAATGTTTCTAAGGATAGACTAGATGAGGGAATGAAAGGTGGGGGACCACCACAAAAGGGAAGGAGGGAGACAAACCCCTGGTCCCTTAACCTCTTACTTGTTAAAAGCCTCACATGCGTCTCTTTCCATATACACCAATGTGCTACTTCAGCAGCTCCAGCAGCCTGACACTATCACAAGGCCAAGATGTTTGTGCCAGGTGGTGGCACTAGGAAGGGAAGTTCCCGGGATAAATCATCCACCCATTCCTCAAGGCCAGGATGTCGACACAAGATACAAAACCATCTTTTGAGAGGCTGGGGCTATGGCTCAGTGGTGGCAAACTTGCCTGGCATGTGTGAGGCACTGGGTTCGATTCTCAGCACCTCATATAAATAATAATAGGTCTATCAATAACTAAAAAAAAATATTAAAAGGAAAACATCTTTTCAAACCATTCCCATGATCAGTGAAAAAAAATCCCCCAATTATAGATTACCCTGCAATCCCCACACATGAATAAATCTTGGACCCCTCCTTTGTTTGTGGGCCAGTCTGACTTCCCCCTCCATCAGTGCTGTTTCCTTTTCCTCCAGGTGAAGCCCCCCATCCCCCTGGAAGCCTTGTCTGTATTTTGGTGTTCACTCGCCTCAGTTTTGTTTCCTCTCAACACTGGGTCAGAAGTTTGTGTCTCTAGTGTCACATGCACTGAGCTCAGGAGGGATCCACAGATGTGTTCTGCTCCTGTCTAATATTACATTAGGCCTCATACTACCTTCTCTCTCTCTCTCTCTCTCTCTCTCTCTCTCTCTCTCTCTCTCTCTGGTGATGCTGGGGATTGAACCCAGGGCCTTGTGCATGCTAGGCAAGCACTCTACCAACTGAGCTATATCCCCAGCCACCCTACCATCTCATTAAATATAAAGCCTGTATTATTCTTATTACTATTACTAACCCAAATGGATGAGGAAATTTAAAAAAATAGAGAATTGATTTGTTATTCCTCTGCTCATCCCCCAACACTTTTAAGTACAAGTAACWGGAGAAAATGAGATTTGAAGTTGGATACGCCTCCCTCAAGGGCTAACACCCTAAGGGATGGRGAGAAAAGCAGTTCTGCATCATAAAGTGAAATGAGCTTTGTTTAGTGGGGGTGATGCTTGCCATGGTCTTGGCRTGTGGAGGATCAAGGCGCTGAGGTATTCCTCAGGTTAAATGAGAAGCATGGCACCCTCAATGTGTCCTGTCCCCACAAAYATCAGCACAGCTGCTGTACACATTTGTCTTTTAGAAGTATATATATATTTTTTTTCCCAAAGGATGCCGGAAAAGCTGCCAATGTTCACATTTGGAGTGATGTGGCCTGGATCAAAGGAAAGAGCACAGTCACAAGGAGAGGCCATTCCATTCCCAGCAACAGAAGACACCTTGACATGATAAAAGCTCCAGGAATTAAGAAGAATCTTGGCTGTGGAGGATGAAAAGAAGGGCACTGGACTCCTCACAGAAGACAAGATGAAGATAGAGAATTAAGCTTTTGTTCTTTGACCTAAAAACTCAAGATGGACTCAGGAGATACCTGGGTTTAGAGATAGTAAATGGTTAGCAAAGGTGAGCCAGGCCAGCCACCCTGGTCAAGCATGAGACAGACCCCTGCTGCCAGGGTGCCTGATGATGGCTGAGAAGGGGCTTG